TTTAGTGCTTCTGTGCTTGTGAATGATGGAATGAGTGTGTCCATGCACTACACAAAAAGCGGTGATCTGCGGCACTTTTTAGCGGCGTTTTCCACCAAACGCCACTAATGTTCCGGTGCATTTGAATTTGTGGCGTTTATCTACAAAAACGCCACTCTATGGGGGCGTTTGTAAAAAAGAACGCCAGGGAATTGATGGAAAATTTTTCCACGGAAAATTGGAGCCAAAAATTTCATTTTTTCCCACCATGTGTTTGGTGCAAAAATAAAAATTACATTAATATATACTTAATAGTGTCGTTTTTTATTATAAACGCCGGGATATGTTAGAGAGTACGCTGTCGTTTTTGGACCAGAATTGGGTTTTGTCTAATAATATTTGATTTTTCTCTCTCTCCTCGTTGAAAATCCCCAAATTCGGTCTTCACTTATTCACTTCTTCTTCTTCTGCTTCTCAAGGTAATTTGAGGTTTCTTCTTCTTCTTCTCTCTCTCCTCGTTGAAAATCCCCAAATCCCCAAATTCGGTCTTCACTTAATCACTTCTTTTTCTCCTACTTCTCAATCCCATTTCATCGGTTTCATTCAGCGGATCATGAGGCGTTGGGGGCATTACTGTATACCTAAGCGTGTTGGGTGAAGTTCATATCCTTCCTTTGCGGGATTTCCCATAGCTAGGAAATCTTTAAAAAAGTAAGCTTTTTTAACCCTGTGTTCTTTTTTCCCTTTACTTCTTTCCAACTCGAAGCAAAGACATTTGCGCTGTTGAAGGATGCTCGTTAAATTTTATCCTTTTTCTATGTTTATTTGGCTTTTGAAGGGTGCTCGTTAAATCCAAGAAGCACTGGGCAGTCTGCTATAAACTGCAAAATTTTTAGGGTTTTGTCCAAGCCCATGTCTCTCGCTCTACACCTGCACCGGATTCCCTTGGTCACAGCGGTGGTTTTATGCCCCTGCAACTCAACCTTCAAGTAAGTTTATAATCTTTTCCCAACATGATTTGGTTTCCTATGTAGCTCCAAAATTAGATTTCAGATATAATAATGGTGTTTATAAATGTCATTTGTGAAGTTTCTAGATTTATTAGTTTTAAATCTTTAAACAACCTGTTTAAACAAACATTTCTGACATCTTTAAATACTTGTTAACTGGTTTGGATTAAAGAAGAACGAATCGAGAAAGTTTTAAGAGTATGGTTAATTGGTTTACTGTTATTAGAATGAAATTAGTCTCATGCTTTAGTGACTAAAGAAAAATTGCTCAGTTCTCAAAAAATTTGCTTTATAATATGTTTTCTGCTATGATTTTTGTTGTGTGATTGTTAATTAAAATGCAAATAAATTGCACTCAACTCTGTGTCTGTGTGGTTTCTTGTTTGCATTGAAGGAACTTAATCATATATAGTACAGAGTAGCTATAAAGGTTTAAATATTATTGATTATACCAAAATCCTTCTAATTTAGCTGTGTTTATATTCTCCCGATTACTATTTTATGTAAAATTTCCTTTTTTAAGTCTCTTTGGTATATTGACGAAAACAGAACATCATATATATGTATTTTAGTGATCTTTTGTTTGCAATTGCTAAGAATGAAAAATATATGTTTAATTATGAGTTACATAGAAAACTTGTTCGTATAATTGGGGATGAAGGAAAACTGCTAGCTGGAATTTTGGCAAAGATTGCTCGGTCTGGAATATGTCCGATCAATTATGAGACATGGCATAAAATGCCTGAAGATCGAAAACAAGAAGCCCAACGAATTGTTCAGGTAGCAAGATCAAGTATAGGACTTATTGTTTTGGTGATTTGATTATTGTGGGCTGCCTTGAATACTTTTTTAATTTTTTATGCAGAGTCGATTTCTTCTTGAGATACCCATGCATTGGGTCTTCCTGAATTTGGCAAAGAAGTGGAGAGATTATAAGCATGATTTGAAGAAACTATGCTTTGATAGCTCAAGCTTGCAAGTGACAAAGAATTTGCGACCTCCAAACGTATGCCCAACTCAATATAACCCACTTGCGGAATTTTGGCACTCAACGAAAGGAAAGGTAGAGCAACCTATTATTAGAAGTTATGCAATATTTCTGGTTTACATAGATATACTTTTTTTTTTTTATAAACATGATTCCATTTTGTTTTATAGGATAAGGCAATTATTGGAAAAGAAAGCAGAAGTAAACAAAAATCCAGTCACACATCAGGATCAAAGAGTTTTGCAAGATTAAAAAATGAGATGGTAAGTAATATCACTTGCCTTGGAAAGCTTAGTTACTGGTTATGTATATAAAAACTGGTTCTGAATTGGTATGAAGATGGCTTGTTTTGCTGCTTTCTATGCAACTATAGCTGTGAATAATATGTAGTTGCAATTAATTTTGTTACATCCTGAATAATCATTCTTTTTTGTACATATATTGAAGTTTAAGTTGTTGGATTTTCCTTGCACTTAACCTTGACTTTAGGAACGGTATTACCCATTAAATGGTAACTCTAGTGAGACTTTTACGTTATTTTAAGCTTTGGGTTTTGGCAGCTTGTTTATAAGAGCTAGGCCACCTAGCAAGTAGCAAAAGTAGTATATTTCTTCTCAATGTTAGGTACAACTTGGTAGGGAAAGGATACAATCAAACTCAACCTTCTGAATTGTTAATGGTATTGTATCAAAATAAGATTCTCAGTTTTAAAAAAGCTCTTGCAAAGATTGTCAGTTACAACTCAGCTTATTTTAATGTTGCTTTGTTTGATAATTAATTGGGAACACTTACTGTTTTGTTTATCTTAATAGAGTATTAAAGGGGAAGAAGTTGGACCTATTGCAATGTATTGTAAAACTCATACAAAGATTAATGGAGACCCCTTGAACAATGAAACATGAGCTGTAATGGTGAGTTTCCTTATATTACTCAACTTTGATCTTTGTTGAACATATTAGTAACTGATGAGAATAATTTTGCTCACCAGAGGTTAGCACAAGAACAATTACGAACCCAAATTTCTAAAGGAACTGTAGAAGAACATGATAGGCAACAAGTTGAAAACAGAATTATGACTGGTATACTTGGTCCAGAAAGATATGGACGGATGAGAGGTAGGGGCTTAGGTCCAATACCATCTGTAATCTATGGGCCAAATTCTGAAATGTTCTCTTCTAGAAAAGGTGGATCTGCAGCAGAGGTTCAACAATTAAGAAATGAAATATCACGAAAGGAATTAGAAAGAGAACGTCAGCTAGCTAGAATTGAAGAAGAAAACTGACAGGAGATTGCTCGCATTGAAGCTCAATTCGAAGCACAGAGACAAGAGGAGAGTTCTCGTCATGAAGCATAGAGTGCTCGTCATGAAGCAGAGCGTGCTCGAATGAAAAGACAACTGGATCAACTCATGAAGATTGTTAGATCGAATTTCCCAGTTGATGGTTTAAGTGTACCATCAATTGATCAGTTGCAGGTATATATAATTTGGGGTTCATCTTTTTTTTTGGCAAAAAATATAATAAACTCATATTTTCTAATCAAGTGCTATAACTTATGTATTTTTTAGTAGGGCCTTCAAGATGGTAGAGGCAATAGTGGCAGTGGTGGCGGCAACGCCCATTTTGTGAATTCTTCGATTTCCAGTGCCCAATCACGTTGTCGAAAACAGTTAGATACATTTTGATTCTTTTGTTTTTTAGATTCAGTTATGTGATTGCTATAACACTGGAATTGAATATTGAAGTAGATTAGATATTGAATCAAAACCAAATGATGGTTGTAATTCATTTGCCATCAACATAATTGATGTGTTAACTTCTTTCATATCAATTTAAATTGAATTATCTATATATTGGTTTTTGTTATATTTTATAAAATTGTCTGAATAATTTCTAATCGGATCACCCATATTAATATACAAAATAAAATTATAATTTTTCAATAAAATTATAAAACGCCACGGTAGTGTGGTTTTTTTTCCTTTTCATAAAGCCACAACATGGTGACGTTTGTGTTACAAAAGCGCCACCATATTGTGGCGTTTGTGTTACAAAAACGCCACCATATTGTGGCGTTTGTGTTACAAAAACGCCACCATATTGTGGCGTCTAATTGACAAAAACGCCTTGTGGCGTTTGTCTGACAAAAACGACACAATTTTCTGGTGTTTTTTTGACAAAAACGCCACAATATGGTGGCGCTTTTCTGACAAAAACGCAGTAGAATTAATCCTCAGAAAAGAAGAAAAATTATATTGGGACACTAAATAAACGCCGCTAACGGTAAAAAAGCGCTGCAGAAATTTAGCGGCGTTTTGCCACAAAACGCCGCTAATATCTACGACGCCGATATCGGCGACGCTTTTTCCGGCGTTTTCCAGTTTCTGCCGGGACGGGTTTGGCAGCGTTTTTAAACGCCACTATTGGACAAAAAAAAGGCCACAGAAACCAGTTTTTGGTGTAGTGATGCTGCTGTGATTTTATGTTGCTGTTTGTTTCCGAGATAGAGATGCAAGTATTGTATTTTGGTTATATCAGAAATTATGGGCTAATGGTCCTACAACCTGTGATTTTGGTTTAATTATTGATTATATGTGTTTCTATGATTTTAGTGCTCTGTGCTTGTGATGCTAGAATGTGGTTAAGGTTTTTTCTTTTTTCTTTTATGCTTTGTTTTTGGCTAAGTATGTTGTACACACAACCGATCTCCACCAACCAAAACCGATGGCGGCACCAACCATCGGTTTCATATATGTTTCGATCGGTGATCGGTTTCCATTCTTCAAAATTCCAAACCGATAAAAAACGAAAAAACGCCACCGACCTGACCGAAACCGACCCCTTCCCAGCCCTATGCATGAACACATTTGATTGAAGTAATTTAGGTTTAGGTTTTACAATTTATTATTTAGTCTCTACAATATGATTTCTAAAATCAGATCAGATCAGACCGGCCACACGGTTTTTTGACTTTTTCAAAAAGAACTGGATTGAACCAGCTTGAAAGTTTATGAAAAAAATATTTGAGTGAAGTAAGATTCGAACTCATGACATATCGTTTTATTAAAAAAAACATGTTTTTACCATTATACTAAACTCTTTTAGATGATATGTATTATACATATTTAATATTTATAGAATAACACACTAAACATTTAGTTAACATGCCAATCAAATCGGTCGATCGATTGAATCGGTCGGACCGATCAAACCGAAAACAAGACTCTTACCAGTTCAGTGGCCAGTCCGAATTGAAAATCTAACAATATATCAATTAATAATCATAATAATCATAAAATTAAAGTATCTTTGTGAAATTATTTAATCTAAGAAATAAGTCATAGCAGGTGTAAAATACAAATTTAGCCACTTAATTTTATGTGAGTTTTTGTTTTGTTTACCTAATTATGAAAAGTAACAATTTGGTCGCTTAAGTTTGTAAAATTAAATATTTACTCACTCAACTGACATGAAAATATCATCAAACATTTTTCACATAGCCAAATCATCATGTTATGTGATTGAGTGACCAAAATATTAAAGTTACAAATATAAGTGACCAAAACGTTACTTTTTATAATTAGGTGATCAAAACATAAACTCACCTAAAATTAAGTAGTCATCTATTTACTTTAAAAAAAAAAATCGGTCATAGCACGTGTAAACCAAAGTAAGAATAAGAAATCAGTCTTAGCACGTGTCTTTATTTGCTGTTTAAGATACGACTTCACTCCATGAAATTTTTCAAAGTTCATTTAAAATTAATTAGAAATTCTTAAATTAATCCAAATTGATATTTTGAAAATTAATTGGCAGCATGTGTAATCACAAATTAGCTGCATTATTTGAAGTTGACATAATCTTCATTATATTTATAATCATCTTGCAACCTACAAGTGACAGGCGATGTTGACTCTATACCAATTTAGGTTTGAGAAGTAGAAACATGATGTTAATGTTAAATACATACTATCGATCAAAATGAGTGGAAGAGTTCGATTTATGTTAAGTGGAGTTCAATTTATGCTAAGTAACTATTCCAGTCTTTTGAATAGAAAATTATATATGATAGATTAGTTTCTCCTCATTTAAGGATGTAATTGTTTATATCTCAATTTACAATTGAGGGTAAATTGGTTTTATCATAATTATAATCAAGATGTATGGTTAGGAATTAATCAAAATTCCTAAAGAAATTAGGTTTCTGCACCACCCTAATTCAAATTGAATTAGGAAAGTCTTGTAAAATAATTGCAAGGGCTGAAATTAATTAATTATTAATTAAATAATAATTATTTTATTAAATAATTATTATTTAAAATCTTACATGTGCCGCCCCTGCCTAGGTGAGTGGCAGAGAAAATCAATCGGAAGCAGTTTCCTTTGATATTGCTGCCTACTAGGGAGGCAAACAGATAAAAGAGGAAAATTGCTTGTCATCTGCCCATGGGATGAAAAATACCTCATGGATATACATAGCAAGGCCCAAGTCGTCTCCCATACAGAGGAGAGGCCGCCCTCTGCCCTGCAGAGAGACATTTTTCTCTTCCTGCAGGAAAGAGGCAGAGAGCTAAAGTTTGTCAGCAAGAGAAACATCTATGCACGTGAAAGAGGCATGAGATTTTCAACCTCACACCTCCTCCATATTGTCGACCAACCATAGTGGAGAAATCGCCTAGCCTTGTTCCCCTCCTCGGGAGGCGAAATTACAACTTGTATTTTGTTCAATTAAGGACAAAATAGTAAAATTGATCAATTGAAGTGGCTAGAGGCTGTGATTTTTTTCCAAGGAGCATACCATGATGATCCTTGAGCTATGTAGATCATCTTGGTAAAATTTCACCTTATTCTGACATCGGAGTAAAAACTTATGCCCAGTTTTCAATTAAGGACATTTTTGGGAGTGAAACCAAATTCACCATGATAGAGAGCTCGAATCAACTTGGAATTTTTTCCATGATCTTATGGAGATATTCTAAGCCTACTGGTGAAATTTTGGTTAAATCTGAGATCGTTTGCAACTTTTGCATTCTTTTCAATTAAGGACATATGGCTTTTTCACCCCGATTTAAGCCATTTTCTTAATTAATTATTATATATACTAAATAGTATTTGAAAGACCCAGGAAATTTACCAAAGGCCCCTTTTGAGGATCGATGAGGAGGCTCCATTTGAACTTTTTTTGTCCTTTTCTGTCTTTTCTCACTAGCCAAATTACTAAGAAGACCCTAGGTTAGTTTCTAGCCAGTTCTTGCCCTTGAGCCCTTTTTTGTAATTATCCTTTCTTTTCACATAATGTTATAATAAATCATATCCCCTTAATTATCTAGAATTGTAACCTCTCTTCAAGCCTTTCATGTCCATATGAAAAAGAGAGTAAACTTAGTTTTTGTTTAAGTGCTACACACTTTAGAGGAGAAAACAAAATTGAAGTTATTGAACATGTCCATGTACAAACTAATATTTTTAATTTATTGCTAATTTTAGGGCATATGCTCAATGTTTTTTTTTAGAAATCATATGCTCAATGTTAATAGTATAGCCTTTTAAAGATGCAACACATTTAAAATCATAGTACTTTCGAAATTTCCTACGTATCAAACAATTTAATTCGAATAGAAAAATGTTCAAAGAAATAGATTGTTGAACGCCCGACGCGCCAGCGTGGGCCGATCCACTTGTTTTCATGATTTGAAGAGCTAACTATGACTAAGTATGAGTAATTTCGTGGCTTTGATGATCAAGGTCCAAATCATGATGTCAATTGGCCACTACTTAGTTAAAATTAGCTAAATTCAGCACAAAAAAAGCAACGAAGGCTCGCTGCACTGTGATAGGAAGAGGAAGGAATTATCATCAACCACCTAGGAGGCAGATTTCCATCTTCCATTCAAGTAGAGTGGTGCCCTAGTCCATATTTTGTCCTCTCCCCAACAGTTGGAAGCAATCAGAAGGAGAATGAAGCGTCACTGCACCTTCCTGGAAGTTGTCATCTACATAGGAGGAGGATTTTGCCTTTCTCAGCAAGGCAAGCCCATTAAATGTGCCGCCCCCTATATAAAGAGAGGCCATTCCCAGGTTTCAGGCAGATTCCGCATCTCAGACATTTCTCCCAAGAAATAAAAAACTAGCTCCTGCAGCTACAAACTTGCTCCGCGCAAAAAACCAAGCTCCGTGGTTATTTTCTCTCTGGCTCTGCGCCATTTTCACCCTGTTCATCATGAGTTCTTCACTCGTTCTTTATATTTTCCTTGTTTAGATCTTGTCTTAGGACAAACAAACACTCTTTTAGTGTTTTTCTCTTGTTTCAATATTGTCTCCGGATATACAAACACTGTACACGTGTTCTTCATTTAGAAATAACAGATCAGTTTGTTATTTTCTTTTCAATTTCAATTGCAATCAAAGCAGATTTCCCAGATCTGATCCAAAAAGAGAAGAGGCCCAGTTACGAGAAGCAATTCACTTGCGGATCCAATGATTTAGATGCTCCGGTGTGACTTTGATCCAGTCCCCACAATCGTTCTGATCTTTTAATCTGCTGCTTCGCGCACCAGATCCAGTTTTTACAACCTCTTTGTCAATTTCAACAAATTAACTGGCACGCCCTTATGCTGTCATAAAGAATTCTCCGCGAAAACTCTAATAAGAGATTTTTGACGCAACAGTAACTAAATTTCATATTGATATTTGTCAAGAGCTAATAATGTTATTAATTAGGGGATATTGAAAAGTTTGAAAAAAAAACCATATCAGGCATTTGGATTGTTGATAAGTTGTCGACTTTTAATTCTAATAGTTAAGATTCTAACCCTAATTTCATCAAGTACCAAGAAAAGTTTGAAAAAAAATATAAAGTTGAATATGGGAGAAAAACTGCTGATATAAGCAATTTTCAAAGTTCATTAGTTCAACTCATCAACCGAGATAAAATCTTCAACATTAAACAAAACCATTATTAAAAATAATTGAATTCGCCAACACTATTAAAAATCAAGGCCCTTAATTTCTGATTTGTCTATAGTACCCTTACGACGAAAGCCTTAACCAATAGCTTAGAGCAGGAAGAATGATGCAATTTGATTCAACTCAAGCTAGGCATATGAATTCATATGATTGAACGAACAATGTATAATAATTTGCTTTATATACTAAATGTAAATTTGTTTTCTTTATACAAAATCAATGTATAAAACAAAGGTACTTGTATACGCACAAATACAAATTTCCATAAAATCGAAGCATGAAATTAAGCACTATTTTTTAGTTGCAAATTTCATATTCACACATAGAGCTGATAATTGGGCGGGTTCAGGTTTTTTCAGATTTGGGTTCTGTCGGATTCGGGTATTTCGGGTTCGGGTTCGGACTCGGACTCGGGTTTGATTTCAATTCGATATTCAGAATCCGATCTGGATCCGGCTCATCCCGGTTCAAGTGTAAGCTCTTTTTAAAGATTTTTTAAACAAAAATAATTATTTTATCTTTTATATTATAAGTTTATTATAATATAACATGATTATCAATATATATAAAGATGGAATAATTGTTAAAAATTACTAACAAATGATTAATAGTTAAAGAACAGTCTCATCCACAGAGACATTCAGAGAATCCCGAAAACTCGACCACTCGTTGAAAAATGAAAACCCTATTTCGGAAAGACTACGGTTACCGACCATTATCAAGTGGCGTGCAACATTTAAATTAATTGAATTAAATATAAAATACATATACTTTATCACTAATTTAAATTAATTAATGCTAATCAATTCTAAATTATTGTAAATTAAAACAAATTAAGCATTAAATTAAACAAATAATTAAAATGAAAGGCTTAAATTAAACAAATTAAAAGATGATAGACCTTTATTTGAACCACTAAAGAACTTTGGGGACTGAACTGAACAAAAATAAGGAACTAGATTGAACAAGGATAGAACTTTCGGTTTAAACATTTGCTTCTGTTTCCTCATCTGTTTTTGTAAATTCTTTATTTGTTTAAACAAAATTAACATTTCATGTATTTAATTAATTATACTTTAATTAATTATAAGGGTACTTTTTAATCTTTTGCTTTAAGTTATATATATATATAT